CAGTGATGGGACTTCAATCAGTGGTGTTTGATCTCCCGCCCGCCCTCCTCCCCTAACCTCCTGAAGGAGGTGCTGAAGAAAGGAGAGAGCCACCGTTCCTTCCTGGTGGAGTGAGTGTAGGGAGAGCTCTCGGTCACGGTTACTGTGACTTTGGCGGCCATGTTCACTGGAAAGCCTGGAACAATCCAGATTTCATACGTGCTGTCATTTTGGCTAAACCATTAACATGCTTGGAGGTTCCAGCACCCGGCATGACAGAAGTAAAAGCATCACTCAGGCTGCCTCTGACGCCCCGGGTACCACAGGAAACCCTTGGCGAACCGTGTGTTCTGATTTTGGATCAGAAAATATAATCATTGGAACTATGGCTGAAGGATAAATGGAAGTTGCATAGAATCTGTTACTTACTGTACATCTGGTTTTATTTTCAGTATGTTTCTAGGAGTTTTATCTGAACTGCTAAGTTGTCCTTTCAACTGAAATCTAATGTACACAATCATTCTATATGTAAAGGGTAAACATGTATCTCTTAATGAGTTTTATTCTTAAAATCAATGTAAAACAACATATCACTTGATTTTAATTTTTTTAACCTGCTAACGGTGTCTGTGAAACCAGTTGTTTCTGCCTCAGGAAGCTGGTTGTCCTAGAACTGTCTTGAAGAAGTGCTGTAGTTCATGGAAATTAATTCCTACCTGGGACATAAAATCTGTCCCCGTAATTGGAGAATTTTAGGCCCAGCAGGAATGCTTGTCTGTCAACACAAGCCTTACTCTCTCCGCCAGGAGGATTAATTGACAATTGTGTTAAGATTGAAGTAAAAAGCACCATGTTCATCTCATTTGAGTATTTCTTGACAGTAGTTCAGATTCTGAGAAATAATATTTAAATTACTGGATATTGACCTGTTAAATACAGAATTGTTTCACAATCAGTGCTTAAGCACCTTACCCACAGATGAACATCTGTAATCATGATCTGTGTTTGAAATACATGCACCTAATAAAAAACTAAATCTGATATTTGATACCATTTTTATTAATATTGGAATGTTTTGTCTTGAACTTTACTCACTGTAATCAAAGAATAAAGATGTAGTAAAACCTCACTAATTTGTAGTGTCAAGAGGGCAAGAGTGTACCACATAATTAAACATAAGTTCAAATTATGAAGAACTTGAAGTAATGGGCTTATTAGGTTTAGGTAACACTGAGAACTAAGGAAGGAGTGAGGCTGCCTGAGCCGGCAGCCGACCATCCGCTGTCATTGCCGCCGTTGTCTCGGGAGCCAGGAGCGCTCTGGTCCACTTAGACCTGTTTTGTTGACTGCTGAACAGGAAGCGGCAGATCCAGTCTGCTGTCCCTGAGAAGGCAGACTTGGCCATCGGTAAGTTTGTGTTGGGCACTTTTGTGTAAATTAGATTTTCAAAGAGTACAAAGGTAAACCAACCTTGTCTCCTCCAAAATGATGGTAAAGACTGAGTAAAATTAGTAAGGTTTTCCTATTAGATGATACTGACCTAAGTTTCTGTAAAAGTACTCTGAGCAGTGCTCAAAAGTTTGAGGTTTGGCTCAGTGGATAGAGCGTTGGCCTACGGATTCAAGGGTCCCAGGTTCGATTCCGGTCAAGGGCATGTACCTTGGTTGCGGGCACATACCCAGTAGGGGGAGTGCAGGAGGCAGCTGATCGATGTTTCTCTCTCATCGAATGCTGAGTACAGATAGAAAAAAAATGTATTTTAAAAAAAAGTTTGAGGTTTAATAGGGAACTTTTGCTCTTGTAGCGGATGAAAGTTGATTCTTCCTCGGGTTTGGAGCTCTGTCTTCCCTGTTAGGTATGTGCTGAGGGGGATTTCAGTGTTTGCACCGTAGTGACCTCAGGACACTTGGGGCCGGTCCTGGGTGTGGCTGCAGCATCACTGGCTCCAGAACACTTCCCTTGCGGCGTGAACTGTGTTGACATGCGCTCTGAGAACTCACGGCCCGGAATTTCAGGGTCTCTCTCCCTGGAGGCATTTTGTATTCTCGAAGTTAACATGTTAGATCTTAATTCTTGCCTTTCTTCCGTGAAGGGCTTTGGCTGGAGAAATAGAACTGTTCAAGTTCACGACCCCAGGAGTTCTCTGGGGAATGCTGCTCGGTCCCTGCTCCCCTTTCTCAGTTCTTCCCGTCCATCTGATCAGGGAGGGAGAGAGTAGATGCAGATCTTTCTAACGCTGCTGGTCCTTTTCCACGCGTGGAAGCTAGCTATGCCTGGAGTTAGAGGCTGCCTTGAAGCAGCAGCTGCTCCTGCGGCTGGAGAAGGAGCAGAGCCAGGAAACTGCTTATTCTGCCTGAGCCTAGGAGTCTTCGTTGATTCTCCTGATGCCCATCAAGGTTTGGTCATTTTCATGGAGTAACAGAGATCATCTCAACTAATTGAATGTTTATTACTCAGTATTTTACTTGGAGGATTAGAGCAAGTCATAGGTAAATGACTAAAGATTTTTTCATTCTAAAATGGTGGTGGTGGGCCGAAACCGGTTTGGCTCAGTGGATAGAGCGTCAGCCTGCGGACTGAAAGGCCCCGGGTTCGATTCCGGTCAAGGGCATGTGCCTGGGTTGCGGGCACATCCCCAGTAGGAGATGTGCAGGAGGCAGCTGATCGATGTTTCTCTCTCATCGATGTTTCTAATTCTCTATCCCTCTCCCTTCCTCTCTGTAAAAAATCAATAAAATATATTTAAAAAAAATAAAATAAAATGGTGGTGGTGGTTTCCCCCCGCCGGTGTGGCTCAGTGGTTGAGCATTGACCTATGAACCAGGAGGTCACGGTTCGATTCCTGTTCAGGGCACATGCCCGGGTTGCAGGCTCGATCCCCAGTGTGGGGGCGTGCAGGCGGCAGCTGATCCATGATTCTCTCTCATCTTCGTTTCTCTCTCTCCCTCTCTGAAGTCAATAAAAATGGTGGCAGTGGTGTTTTGCTTTTAGCTGTGCATACTTATTAAATTTGTCAGTAACTATTTCTGTGGCCCATGACAGTAAATAGAATTATAAGGACTCTTTGGAGTGAGTTACCAGATGTTAGCTGTTGCAGATCTGCACATTCCTAGATTCTAAGGGGGGGTTGTTTGTGTGATTTTGCCTTAAATTTAAGTGAACCATTCACTGTCTCAGGAAGATCATGGAAAATTGGAAGTGATTTTAAGAATTCTGAACCAGCCCTGGCCAGGTAGTTCAGTTGGTTAGAGCATTGTCCCAGTAGGCCAAGGTTTGTAAGCTCAATCCCCAGTCAGGACACATACAAGAACCAACTAGTGAATGCATAAATAAGTGGAACAACAAATCAATGGTTCTCTCTCAAATTTTTAACCCTTTGAGTGCCAACCAATATCCTAGGAACTATGCTAAAATTGCCAAGGCATTTTTGCTGATTTTACAGCAGTTTAGAAAAAAAATTATGAATCGCAAGTAAATGAAGTTACATATTCAAAAACTTAAGGAAACCTTTACTACATTTGTTTTCATCTTTGGCATATATGGTTTGCTGATTGTATTATAAAATACTAGTAGAAAAAAAAATTTGAACAAAACACATAATGTTAAAATAAAGCGCTCCCAGCACTTTTGGCAAAAGACACTCAAAGGGTTAAAAAAGAATTCTGAACCAAAATAAGTTGTTTTGCCACAATACTCTTGACTTTCATAGATTAGGTAACAAATATGTAATCTCCCACATAATATTCAGACTGGTGACTGCTACTTTGTGAAAACCATTTTATTTACAATTGCTGTGGATTCAAGGGTAGGACTTGTATCCGTTGGAATGTATAATTTCTTTGCGACTCTTTTCCTTTTACTTGTGGTTTGAGTTTGGTTCCTGCCTGACAAGTTGCACTTAGCTTGCGTTGTTGCCCGACCCTGGCTGGACACTCAGCGGGGACGGGAGTACAGTCAGGTGCATGGGTCCATAGCATGTCAGTCACGGTGGGACAGGGGTGAGCCACCAACACTGTTAGCCAAACCACTCACCCCTTTTCCCTTTGTTAAATCGAAAGACCCTTAATAAAACCTGTAATTAACACAAAACGTGTTGTGTGTCTTTATTGGGGATGGTACTGGGTTTCATTCTGGCGTTGCATCTTTGATTTTCTTCATTGAACAGTTAGGTCACAGCCACTTCCCTAAGCTTTGGAATGTGGGATACATACATAATTATGGCTTAACGTGTCCGTCTTCCAAACTTAACACATTTCTCACGCCCTCCCGGTCAGGAGTCAGCCCACAGAAGAGTGTTCTGTCTTAGATCCCAGATGTATTCTCCTTGGAGTCAGGGGCCCTCTTCCCAAAGTGGCGTTGAGGCAGCTCCTAGCAACGGCCGAGTAGTGAGCCGAGTCCGGGTTTCGGCTAACGGCCGCGACGGGGCACCCTGGGAAATGTAGTTCATCTTAGCGTCTCCTGTTCCGTTGGTCCCGGCAGGTGAGCGGGTCTCAAACTACAACTCCCAGGATGCCTCGTGCCTCCTCTTTCGAAAGCCGGGAGACTGAGAGCTGGGCATCGGCTGGGTTCCGAAGCGGGAGGCCTGACCGAGCTGGGCCGGCACCCGGGGCTATGGCTCGGACAAGTCCCAGGGGCTGCTCCCGCGAAGGGAAGGGCGCGTAACCCGGGGGCTGCCAGGGGCTGGGAGGGTCGTCGGCTGGCCGAGGCCGGGTTTCGGCTAACGGCCGCGACGGGGCACCCTGGGAAATGTAGTTCATCTTAGCGTCTCCTGTTCCGTTGGTCCCGGCAGGTGAGCGGGTCTCAAACTACAACTCCCAGGATGCCTCGTGCCTCCTCTTTCGAAAGCCGGGAGACTGAGAGCTGGGCATCGGCTGGGTTCCGAAGCGGGAGGCCTGACCGAGCTGGGCCGGCACCCGGGGCTATGGCTCGGACAAGTCCCAGGGGCTGCTCCCGCGAAGGGAAGGGCGCGTAACCCGGGGGCTGCCAGGGGCTGGGAGGGTCGTCGGCTGCGCTGCGGTACGCGGCATCGGGACCGAGGGGTGCCCCCGGGAGGACCATCGCTAAGGGGCAGGCTCGGGGTTTTAAAACGACGCACGGAGTTGGCCGAGCAGGTGCGACGACATGACGGTGCTCGTGGCCCCGTGGCCTTTGTCGACCGTTAGACATCCCCGCGGTCTGGAAGGCTGGGACCCGACCCACCGGAGTGACCGGAAGTGCCTGGATGTGCTGAGACAAAGCGCGTTTGCACCTTTAGGTCGTGAAAATGGCCATTACAGAGAAAAAGAAACACGAACATTCAGAGTGGCCCCTGTTTGTAACCCCAGATAAACTTTGCATCTAATAACAGGACAGGCCGACAGCGGAGAAACAAGATGACCCCCTCTGACCCCTTCCTTCCAAGGCGGGCCGCAGGTCGGTTCCGGGCGCCGCAGGTCGG